TTGCTCCTTATAGAGTTGGATCTTTGCTTAGTGTAGAATTGGTTCAAGAAAGCTCCCTTGTATTCATTCCATGTTGTAATGGACTGAGGTGGTAAAGATTTTACCCATCTTAGCGCCTTGTCACTTAGAGAAAAAGTGAATAGCTTGCACTTGAAGTAATCCGGCGATACTCCATTAACACGAGTTGTGCTACATATCTCCTCAAAGGTGTCGACGTGATCAAGAGGATGCTCAGTGGGCAAACCATGGAATTGGTTTTGCTTCACCAAGGCAATGATCTGCGGTTTGATCTCAAAATCGTTCCTTGGAGGTAGAGGCGGTCGGATTGGATTCCGATCCATAAAGAAAGCATCGGACGAATCAAAGTCTCCCATAGTTTGGTGCCTTGGATGCTGCGCGTTTGGCACTCTCCTTGGAGGTGCGTGAGGTTGGTCTTGAGGCATCCCTTGGTTGTCACCGTGACGATGATGTCCATTTGCAAACGCCGGTGGTGGTCGCGGCGGGTTAAGAGGTGGCTGTAGCGGCTCAGCTGCATCGGGCGCGTTCGGATTGGGCGGAGGAACGTCTCTGGCCGGTGCTGGCTGGTCAGCTCTAGCTTCTGCTGGATTAGGAGGATCATTGGCTCTCCTCTCTTGGTCGGGCGGGTTGTGTGGCCTATTTGGCGCGCCTTCTCCGCCTGGATTCATTCTTTCTCTTCTTAGTCGCCTAAGTGTGCGCTCAAGTTGGTCAATGTCAAGATCTTCTTCAATGGTTGTATTTGGATTGGACCTTCTTGTCATGCACCTTAGAAACACACAAAGAGAGAGAGTTAAGTAAAATTTTTATGGTTTTTAAGATTTTATGAAAAACAAAAACAAAGAAAAGTGAAAGATGAGATGAGCTAGTCTTGAAATCAATCAAGAGGTGTGAAGGAAAAGCAACTCCTCCCCGGCAACGGCGCCAGAAAGCTTGATGGCGGGTTTAGATTGCCTCAAATTTTCACAATTTATAAACCCAACTAATGAGCTGCAAGTGCACAGCCGTGTTGTAGTCGGGGTCGAACACGAGGAGGAAGTGTTCTCACTTAACACCTTGTGAGATTGGTTTGTAGCTAGCTCGCAATATGAGATGGTTTTGGACCTAGAATGAGAAAGTGAAACAAAAGAAATGTGAGTGAGGTTGTAAACAATTTAAAACAAGAGTTAGGCAAAGGACAATCATATGGAGCAATGATGAAAAGATAGTTGCATGGGATGTGTGTAGAGCCGTCTTGAACATGAATCACTAGTGTATGGTCTTTCCACTGTCGTGGCTCCAACCACTATGTTTAAAACAACCTAATATACTCAGCTTTCGTTGGCTATTAGAATTGCAAACATGCATTAAAGATGATCAAGATTCAATTGTTCACAATAAACCATAACTCAGCTTTCGTTGGCTATGATCTATTGCTCACCAAATACTAGTTTTGAGATCTAGATTCAGCACTGTCGTGGTTCTATTTCTCTAAGATCAGATTACTAGATGTACGGTAGAGTAATCATGCATTAAGCTCAAGTAAAGGTGAAGATCCATAAGATAAATCCCAATAAGTTGCAACACAATCAAATCATCACAGCTACCTGATGTACTTGCATTTTACATAGTTTTAGCACATCTTTTATGCATCTTTTGCATAGTTTTAGCTTCCATTTGCATCATATCTTGTTCCTTTTCTCTTCTTATGCATTCATGTTAGTTTTAGGTTGCATTTGCATACATATGCATGTTTGGTCCTTTGAAATAGGTCTTTTGGAGCATTCTGGAGCATATGGGACATGAGGAGCATGGAGGGACTTGGCACATGGACGCAGCTCAACTGGATACGCAAAGGAAGAAGGGAGAAGCCATCTTGAAGACCAGCTCGACCGTCTACTCGACCAACCGGTCGAGTTCCTCAACTCGACCGGCCAAGCTTCAACTCGATCGAGCTGAGAAGTCAACAGTCAAACCCGAAAAATGTTGCTTCCCCCTTGACTTTCCTTTGACCCTAAACCTAATCCTCTTGTATTTAAAGGCTCTAAGCCACGAAAAAACCACCAAGCTTTAGATTATTTTGTTTTAGTTTCTTTAATTTATTGTCTTTTACTTTTTAGCAACTAATCCATCTTTGTGTTCTTGAAGCTCTTGCTTCTTGAATCTTAGATCCTGGATTATCTTCTTTGTATTTGCACTTGCTTATTTCAATAAAAGTTGTTTAATTTCATCTCCTCTTTCTTATGATGTCTCTTTTATTGCATTTGCTTGTGTTTACATTCATGTGTAGTGAGTAGTTACCCATTAGGGTTTGAGATGGGATAGATTAGAGGTTTCATATGCTTAATCCTTCTAGCTTATGGTCTTAATCTAGATTCTCTCTCTTTTGGATAGATCTTAAGGCTACATGACCACTACCCCTGGCTTGTAAGTCCTTAGGCGACTCCCCACACGAAAGTGATGGCATTCGCTGGAAAAGATCCACTAAGAGCTCCAATATCTCTTGCTCTAGAAATAGAGGTCTAAGGGGTTGGATGGATTAGTTTGGGCAATGATCCTATAGCCTCCAAGGTTTGATTCTCACTGGCTAACCCCCTGTTTCTGAGATCATTCCTTGGTTGATAGCCTTCACCTTGGGAAAGGGTTGGCTAGGCATTGAGAAGCCCAATATCAAGAGAAGCCTTGATACAAGGAGTTTTAAGAGCTAGATTGATTAAGTGTAGATTCCTTGATTGCAAAACCCTGTCTTGAACCCTAATTCTCTCTTATCTTGTTAAAGTCGTCACCTTTAGCTTTGTTTGTCTCAACTCGTCCCTAAACTCGATCGAGCTGGTACTTTGTCTGACTCGACTCGAGTCCTTGGTCGAGCTGCTACTTCACTGCTTTGTTTACTTTTATTGCACTGCATTTCATTTTATTTAGGTTGTTAGTGTTACTTCAAATCTATTACTGCTTGCTTGACTTTCTGGTTGTTTCATATTCTCAAAGAGTGACAAGTTTCCCATTTTGGATTGATAACCTCTTGTACTACATGACTATGATGGTTAAGAGGAATTGATTGATTGTGATTGCACCATTTCATCTTTATTCACCCCTGTTTGCATTCCACCTCATATCTTATCACCCTTCATTCATATCATATCACACCACGTAAAATCCAATCATCACTACCATAGATCTCCTCGGCCTAACTAAGAGATCTACTCGGCCATGATGCAAACAAGCAAGCAAAGCATGATTGTAAACATTATGCAAGTATTAAAAGAGATAAAGGGATGAAGAAAGCTTCTCTATTGATGAACAAAGGGATGAAGAAAGCTTCATCCTAAGAAAAAAAATATTTTCTTAGGATGAAGACCCAAAAGGAGACCACATCATGAAAATGTCCCACCCAAAAAGCCCACCCTTGTACACGGCAATTCTTCTTCATAAGGTAAGGAAATTCTCATCTAGTATTCATTCATAACCACTCCTGATCTTCACATGATAATCATTTGAACCATTGCACTTTGTCACATATATTTCATGGTTTCAATCAATTTACATTTTGATGGTTAATGAATGAAATACATTTTCACTTGTCAAACTCTTATCATGCACTAAATTCACATAGATTGAACTATAATTTGAAGTTTGGGATCACTAACCAAGACCCAAAAAGAGTTTATAGTTTATACATTACTCTCTTGGATTGTGAATTTCAAGTTGGTCACAGGAGGATCTCAATCTAAGAAACCATCTAATAGTGATTTCAAGTGTTTGGCAAGGAGTTAACTATTTGACAGGAAGGAGGCATGGAGAATAGCTGTAACAAACCTAAAACCATCATTCATATGGCGGACAAAGGAATGTTTAAAGGAGATTCATAGGCCATTACAAGAAACAAGGTGATTACCACTTGGGAATGACAAAGGAGGGCTAGAAAAAAATTCGGTAGAAGAAAAAGTCAATTGGCCCGAACGGATTTGAAGAAATTCAATCTGGCATATTTCTCTCGGCCATGACGCGTACAAGGAGAACAAATCTCGGCCAACTCCTAAACGGCGTGTGCAAAGTCCACCACACTTCACAGGCGACCATGAAATCCCATTTTGGTCGGAAAATCCAAACTATAGGACGGATAAATCATCACGGTTCAAGAGATAGACCACAGGAGCCACATCCGGCCGATAGCGGGCAAGCACAATGGCCGACAAATCAAATCACGGCATAGACGCGACCACCGGTTGGAAACTACTTCCTGGAGATTAAATAACACATTTATGCAGGAAGTCTCAATCCACTCGTTCAAATGCTCTCAAACTTCACCAGAGGCCATGAAATACCAGGTTGGTCGATGAAATTTCAATATAGGTCATGAAATTCTTAATAGTTTGTTTTGTAGTTCACTGATGATAGATTTGTGTGTGTGATGTGATGATATGAATGAAATGGGTGGAATGCAACAGTGGTAAATGATGGGATGGTATGGTGCAAACACAATCACAATCAATCAATTCCCTTAACCATCATAGTCATTAGTATAAGGGTTATCAATCCAAAATGGGAAATTGTCACTCTATGAGAATATGAAACACAAGAAAGTCAAGCAAGCAGTAAATAGATTTGGTAACACTAACAACCTAATGAAATGAAATGCAATGCAAAAGTAAAAAAGCAGTGAAGCAAGCAGCTCGACCAAGGACTCGAGTCGAGTGGGAACAGAGTACCAGCTCGATCGAGTTTAGGGTCGAGTTGAGTAAAAAGCTAAAGGCAGACTTTAACAAGCTAATGCGAAATTAGGGTCTAAGACAGGGTTTACAATCAGGGAAGGCTATACTTAATCAATCTTGCTCTTAAAACTTGTATCAAGGTATCTCTTGATATTGAGCTTCTCAATGCCTAGCTAACCCTTTCCCAAGGTGAAAGCTATCAACCAAGGAATGATCTCAGAAACAGGGGGTTAGCCAGTGAGAATCAAGCCTTGGAGGCATAGGATCATTGCTCAAACTAATCCATCCAACCCCTTAGACCTCCATTTCGAGAGCAAGAGATATTGGAGCTCTTAGTGGACTTTTCCAGCGATTTCCATCACTTCCATGTGGAGAATCGCCTATGACATACAAGCCAGGGGTAGTGGTCATGTAGCCTTAAGATTATCCAAAAGAGAGAGATCTAGATTAAGACCATAAGCAAGAAGGATTAAGCATATGAAACCTCTAATCTATCCCATCTCAAACCCTAATGGGTAACTACTCACTACACATGAATGTAAACACAAGCAAATGCAATAAAAGAGACATCATAAGAAAGAGGAGATGAAATAAACAACTTTTATTGAAATAAGCAAGTGCAAATACAAAGAGATATCCAGATCTAAGGATTCAAGAAGCAAGAGCTTCAAGAACACAAAGATGAGGATTAGAGTTGCTAAAAAGTAAAGACAATAAATTAAAGAAAAGCTAAAACAAAAATAATCTAAAGCTTGGTGTTTTTTCGTGGCTTAGAGCCTTTAAATACAAGAGGATTAGGTTTAGGGTCAAAGGAAGTCAAGGGGGAAGCAACATTTTTCGGGTTTGACTGTTGACTTCTCAGCTCGATCGAGTTGAAGCTTGGCCGGTCGAGTTGAGGAACTCGACCGGTTGGTCGAGTAGATGGTCGAGCTGGTCTTCAAGATGGCTTCCTCCTTCTTCCTTTGCGTATCCAGTTGAGCTGCGTCCATGTGCCAAGTCCTTCCTTGCTCCTCATGTCCCATATGCTCCAAAATGCTCCAAAAGGACCAAACATGCATATGTATGCAAATGCAACCTAAAACTACTATGAATGCATAAGAAGAGAAAAGGAACAAGATATGATGCTAATGGATGCTAAAACTATGCAAAAGATGCATAAAAGATGTACTAAAACTATGTAAAATGCAAGTACATCAACACCCCCAAACTTGAACCTTTGCTTGCCCTCAAGCAAACAAATAGAACAAGAAAGAGATGAGGTTTGAAAACAAGTTGATTCAACACTTAAAAACATGTCCTCAAAAGCGATTTGCTAAATGTCCAACTTAGAGATTCTAGAATGCAACAAGGTGAGAGATATTCATTAAGATTTAACCATGCTTATCAACATCAATCCCACTTCACAGTCACTCAAACAATGCATTCAAATCAGCAAATCCCTTTAACATTCATTAAGCAAAAACAGTGAACCAAAAACATGCAAGATCAATCAACTCATTTGGTTTCAAGGGTTTATGGGTTAAGAGACAAAGAGGGTCTCTTTTGTATGGTGGTTTAGTAACAGGGATCTCTCAAGAAAGTGGCTTTGCTTTGGCAGAAGGCTAAGTGTTAGAACCAAAGATGATGCAAGAACAGCAGCTCGAGCCGCCTAATCCTAACTCGATCGAGTTCAACACTTAGAGCTTTTTAGAACAAAATCCTAACTACCCTTTTTGGCATTTCGCCTTTGAAACTGAGGAGCTTTGCTCACTTTTCTTTTAAGAACTTCCTAGGGAGAGGCTTCTTGAGGTAACATCTAGCGGTTTGGGATTTTCTAAACACTTAGGGAACTTTTCTTTCTTTTTGACACTTGAGGCTTTGCCTTCTTTTCATTCTACTTAGAACCCTTTTTTCTTCCTTCCCAAACCTTTACTAGACCCTTTTTAACACTGCCAACTCCCTGGACTTAACTAAACTCTTTTTCTTTGGGTTTTCCCAACTTTTACCACTTTTCTGGTTTTTACACCCAACTCGATCGAGCTCGAGTTGGCACCCCCAAACTTAGCCTGAAAACAATCCCAAGAGAACTAGACAACTAGAACTACTGCCCCTGCCGGTTTAAACACAACACCTTATGCTAAGCAAAGCCAAGAAAGGTTCTCACAATTCGCACAAGAGATAATATGGGGTTTGAAATGAAAAGGCTTAGGTTTAAGGTGTGGTAACTGTCTCAAAGATGAGATCAGCTATCTGGACAAGCAAGAGGGATATGAAAATAGGTAAAGAATGTCCAGATATGTATGTGGTAGCCATGAGTTGAAATCAAATGCAAGCATTGGTAATTAAAGATCAAGTTATGGTTCAAATAGATAGGGAAATGCATCAAATCACAGCAATGGTTGAATGAGATGTGCATGCAGTGATATGATCAAGATAAACATGGTTCTTGCTGCTCAATCAATCTCACCCTAATGCACAAAAGAATCTAAAAACAGGGCACTCAAGAAATCGCAAAATGAACAAGTTTTCAAAGTCAAATCAACAATGCAAGTGAAAAATGCAATCCTAAACAAGTCTAACAAATATGAATGCAAAAAGATGAAAATATTTTTGGATTTTTTGAAAATTTTATGATTTTTTTGGTTTTTCTATGCAAATAAAGATGAAAAACTAAGAACAAAGAAAACAAGGTTAAATCATCTCTTGAACCCTCCCCCAAACTTAAATCACACAGTCCCTTGTGTGAGAAAATTTAGTGAAAGATTCAAGAGGGCAAAACCAAGAAAAAAAAGAAAAATGCAAGAAAATATGAAATGGTATATACAAGGGTTGGTGTTTGGATACCTCAGTGCCCCCCAAAGAACTGGGAGGCAAGGTCGTGGTCTGGAGATGGGAGACGGCCATCAGGAGCACTCCATCGACTGGGTTCCTGCAGCTCGATCGAGCTTGCGGCTCCTCTTCTTCTTCCTCGAAGTGTGTGGCTCCCTTGGCCTTGGTGGAGCTTGGCTAGCTCGAACTGCCGTATGGGTTCCATCTCTCTGGGAAGTCCTGGTAAGGTTGATCGTACTCGAATCCAGGGTTCTCGAAAATGGCTCCTCCAGGTCAACTCGACCGTCAGCTCGACGAGTTGAGTTTCCTCTGTTTGGACTCGATCGAGTCCGGTGGTCGAGCTGGAGCGTCTGGCCTTGGAACTCTTCCTCCTTCTCTGCGTGTTGTCTCCTCCTTCCCTTGGCTCGAAATGAAGAGGCTCTGTGAGGCTCTTGGGCAGGGAGCCTCCTTGGAGTGGTGAGAAGGATCTACTCCTAGGGAATGTGGCCTATGGGTGTCTTCTTCTTCTTGCTGAAGAACCAGAAACCTTCTTCTCCAAACTCTTGATCTTGCTCACCATCTTGTCCATGGACTTTTGCATCTTTCTCATGGCCTTCCCTTGCCACTTGTTGAACTTTTGGAGAAGTCCAATCCTCTTGTGAGCAGCCACAACAGAGGGGTTCATCCTTGGAGCCTCATACTCCTCAAAGTAATAGCACTCAGGCTCACCCAAATCCTCATTCACTTGGGCTCGCCTGAGCTCAGCCTCAGCTCGATCGAGTTCAGGCTCCTCTTCTCGCAAATCATCCTTCATGCCCAACTAATGTGTACACAGGGGGTCTGAAGTCAATGTTCTCACCCCTATGACTGTGGTGAGCTCAGGGTTGGGCAGAGAAGCTTGGAAGGGCCAGCCAATGGGGTGTGTGAACTTGAATTGGAACTCCCATCCAACTCCTTGTGCTCAATGAGGAGGTTGGTCTTGCAAACTTGATGTCCATCCAACCAGCTGGAGTTGCCTTCTCCTTGTTTAGCTGGACACCAGCTGCGAGAGGATAGGAGCATGAGGTTCCTGCGTGTGCCCTATCTCCTCTGATCTTCTTCCCATCCTTGTGCGTGAGATGATGGGCTTGATTCCCATGTCAAGGAGCTTGACTTCTCCTTCATTGATTGTCCCGTGCTTTCCTTGCAAAGAAGGTGTTGGCAAGTGCCTTGTGCACATATCTCAGCACTGGGACTCCTGATCTGAGCAGCCTTGGACCTTGAGGAAGAGTACTCTCCTCAGCGATTGTAGCCCAAACCTTTGGAGCTCATTCTCCTTGATATTCCAATGAGTTCCCTCTCCATAGTGAACCCAAACAGTATCTCAAGCTGCCTAAAGGTCACCATCTTCTTCTCTCCCTTTGCCAAGAACGTGATCCATCCCCAATCCTTGGTCCAAGTCAGCTCGATCGAGCTCATCATACTGTGGTACCTCATCGATGCTAGGAACTCACAAGTGAGCTCCTTGTAGACTCCATGCATGAGAGAAGAACTTGGCCAAGTGCATGTTCTTGAGACTAGCTCCACATCCTCAAAGATTCCAAGAGCCTTCATTGTGTCATCATGTGGGTACTTGTTCCACAAAGTCCATGGAGAAGAGAGCATTGTAGTGCTCTTGGTACATGGGGAGCTCATCCTCCTCTTCTTGTGGCTCAGCCTCCTCCATGGGCTCATCTTGGTTACTCTCATGCCACTTCATCAACCTCTTGATTGACCTCCTCTCCTTCTTCTTCACTTTCAGACTCATCACTCTCTTCTCTTCCAATGTTCACCCCAATCTCAAACTCTCCTTGCTCACTCTCACTACTAATGGGGTCATTCCTCTTCTTGGTCCTCCTCTCTTCCCTCAATCTCTCGCTCTCAGACTCCTTCAGAGTAACATATCCCTCTGCATCAGACTTCATCCTTTGATTCATCCCTTCCAAATCGGCTTGCATTTAGCCTCCTTTCCATTGCATTGCTTGATTCACCCTCAACCATTCTCCTTGTGAAGCACGGCTTCCCTCACTGTTTGTCATCCTTGTTACGCTGTTTTCTCAACTAAGGTTCCTGAAATTCATCAAAAACAAAGAATTAGAGTTGTAATGATCGGTTCGGTCAACTCGACACCCAACTCGATCGAGTCAAAAAACTCGAGTGACAAACTCGATCGAGCTAGGTGAAAACAGAGTATAACCGAACCTAATCAAGTATTAAGAGCTGGAAAGGATGCTAAACAATCAAATTGAACCAAGAACATCAAGTAATTGGAACAATGAGCAATTCTAGTGAAGATTAAAGCATCCTAACCAATTACCAAACTCAAATTCAAGGTTTTAAGCACATGTAACAATTTTAATGGCAAAACAGAGGTGAGGTGAGGCAAGTTCAAAATTCTATAAGCAGCAGATAAATGTGAGAGCAAATACTCAAGAACAAGTCCAAGGTTCCCAATAGCAGAGGTAGATCCCTTTCTTCTTCCATCTCCATGACAGTAAGGTCAGTTTGGATGATGCATTCTCCTATTTTCAAGTGATAGTTCTTGAACACACCAAGAGGAGACTTGGAAGTTGCATCTCCAAACATGATTGAGGTAGTAGGGCGCTGCAATGCTCCAGCAATGCCAAGCTTCTCTGCCATTGTGAGGGAGAGCAGGTTGATGCTTGCACCAGAATCCACCAAGGCATTGTCAAGCTCAATATGCCCAAGTGTGCAAGGGAGAGTGAACTTTCCTTGATCCTTCACCTTTGGTAAGAAAGTAGGTGAGGTAAGCAGGTTGATTTGGTGAGTAGACACCTCCAGAAGCTCTGAAACCTTATCACTGTTAGGCCTGGGCATAAAATCCGACCCGCGGGGCCCGACCCGGAACCGACCCGAAAAAACCGGTTCCGGTTAGCACCAGTTCCCCTCTAAATAACCTGTCGGATAAATTTCTCCCTAAACCGCGGTCCTCGGGTCGGGTCGGGTATTAACCGTGGGTACCTGGGAAGAACCGAGATTAAAACACAAACCCTTATTATGTCTAATAAAACTTCATCGTTTTATCCGCCACCGTTGCTTTAGTCGCTTCCGCTTCTGAACCCAGCAAACGTTTTTCGAAATCCAACTTAAATCCTTTTACATATTCAATTAACTAAAACTGGAAGCTCAAATCCATAGAGGAGGAAGAAATCCTCCATCAGCGACGTCTGCAAATCAATCAAAGGTATGCAATTTTGATTTCATTTTCGAGTATTCGTACTTTCAGTTTTGTTTCGATGTTGCTATGTTCATCTGTTGCATGTTTCCAATTTCTTTGCGATTTGTTTGTAAAAACTAAGGAGTAAGAACGATAGAGTGATTGATAGAGTGATTCGATGTTGTTCTCTTCGTGCTTGAGTCAAATTGTTCTTGGATTTTGTTTTGAAATTTGTTTATATACTTATGCGATTGACTGTACGAGACTAAGAGTCAAATTGTTCTTAGATGCTGTTTTTGTTCCTTTTAGATGCTTTATGATCTCTTCGTGCTTGAGTCAAATTGTTCTTTGTCACTGACTCTTTCTTTCATTTTCCTGAAATGTAAATAACATGAGTCTGCTCTTTGGCTGCCTCTTTTGAATTCTCTCTTTGTAACTAGTGAATGTCTGATTGCTAACCATAAAATGTGAAATTGAGCGCTTTACAAGACCATGTAAACTTTACAAGACCTTGTAAACTTTACAAGACCATGTAAACTCTTGAGCGCTTTACAAGACCATGTAAA